ATGTTGTAGTCGAACCCCTGGGATATGACGTCCTACTCCTCGAGTATCATGGGATTGAACTGACCCCCTCCAGAGACTCCCAAGAAAGCTATTTCAGCCCGTCGAGCAATTAAAAGCAATTCACTCTTGAAGTCATGATACTGATTTTTATTTTCTTCCTTTTTTTATGAAGCCGGTAAATCAGCTAAGAGCACTTAACATATTCAACAATAAAAATATGTGATACTACTATGGGTGATTGAGGAATATGGGAAAGCGAAAACGATTAGGGTGGGATAGGGTGTTTTGGGGTTAATTACTTTAATAATTACTTAAGTTCTAAGATATTATATCAATGGTCACTAAAGATAATTGTTTAAGATAATAATTACACGAGTTTCTAAGTGTTACACTAATCATCACTCAAATTAAAAAAAAAAAATTAATTTAATTTAAATCTTATGTAGCGCCAATAAGTGACAACATGTCACCAAATGGTACGCCAAGTCAACAAATTTGGTAAATTAAGAATTGAAAGTTAAACACGTTCGGATGAGAAAACGTAACGTGGCTTTAATTTTGATTAGATCTTCGGTCTTAAATCGTATGATAACGCCACAATTTTCATTTTAATGCAATTTTTGCTAACTTTTCATAATAACTAATGTTGTTTGGTGACACTTCAAACATTTTAAATTCACTACTACAACGTTGATTGATTAGCATTAAATTTCCTTGACAATGATGACCCTCGTAACGTTATGTGACAATTCAACAAATTTGGTAAATTAAGAATTGAAAGTTAAACACGTTCGGATGAGAAAATGCAACGTGGCTTTAATTTTGATTAGATCTTCGGTCTTAAATCGTATGGTAACGCCACAAATTTCTTTTTAATGCAATTTTTGCTAACTTTTCATAATAACTAACGTCGTTTGGTGACACTTCAAACATTTTAAATTCACTACTACAACGTTGATTGATTAGCATTAAATTTCCTTGACAATGATGACCCACTTAACCTTATGTGACAATTCTGTGACATTAGATGATAGGTTAAATTAAATGTAAATACAAAAAGATCCATGTTAGTGGACATATCATTTAATAATATCAAACACAACCACAGTCGTCAATTACATAGTATAGCATTACTATATTTTCTCAGTGACTCTCTACAATGAAAGGAAGTTCACAGTGTTCACTCAACACATTATGTGCCGCATCGATCTCTTGGTGGTGTTGTCTACGGTGCAAAATATTGATATTTTTGTAAAGGGTGTTTATACTGGCACCGTAATTTTTATTTGTTACATCACGTTTTAATTATAGTTAAACTCCTTAATCTTTACTTGTTGCAGTAATTATATCCTTAATTTTGTTTTTCGTTTATATCAAAATATTTTGTTCACATACTTTAAAATGAGGAAAAAAATATTTTTTGTACTTTTTTTTTTGTAAAACATGATGAAATGATAAGTTGTTATACGCTATTTTAACGTACTTTTTGGACATAAACTGTTATTAAATACAAAATGTGTTAATTAGTAGAAAGTTTGAGAATAAGAATGTCACAAAAAAATTGTTTGGGGCATAAATTGTAGAATGAATAAAGATTGAGAACCTTAAGT